TCCTGTACTTACGCGCCTATACCAGCTATCTCTTTCTTCGGGTCGTGTACCTGAGGCTTGGAGAGAGGCCATTGTGCAGCCAGTGCCCAAAAAGGGAGATCGGTCAGACCCTGCAAACTACCGCCCTATAGCTATCACCTCTGTGCTGTGTAAAGTCCTGGAAATGATTATTAACTCCCAACTGATCCGATACCTAGAAGATCACTCCCTTGTAAATGATCGTCAGTATGGCTTTAGACCAAAACGATCAACTGGTGATCTTCTAGCGCACGTCATGCACCTCTGGGGTGAAGCTATCGACAAGCGCGGCGAGTCCTTGGCTGTCAGTCTTGACATTGCTAAGGCATTTGACAGGGTTTGGCACAAGGGACTTCTCTCCAAGCTTCCGGCCTACGGTCTGCCCGTTCAACTCTGCACCTGGATAGCCGACTTCCTGCGTGAGCGTAAAATCCGTGTTCTTTCTGACGGATGCTCTTCACAGCTTATGTCGGTCAACTCCGGTGTGCCTCAGGGCTCCGTTCTATCCCCTACATTTTTTCTGCTGCATATCAATGACATGCTTCCACTTGGAAATATCCATTGCTATGCAGACGATAGCACAGTGCATGTAGGATATCACGGGGCTCCTACAGTCGGACGGGCGGAAATCCTGGAGAAAAGGGAGAATCTTGTCATTGAGCTCAATCACGTTCTGGATCTCATATCGAAATGGGGTGCTGAAAATCTGGTTGAGTTCAATGCCAAGAAAACTCAGGTTTGCGTATTTACCGCCAAGACCCCTCCATTCCCTTCCCTTCCCTCTCTTCAGGGCACAACCTTGCCTCTAAAGAGCAGCATCAACATGCTCGGGATGGAAGTGCGCTGTGATCTGAATCCCAAAAACCACATCGAGTCCGTTATTAAAACAGCATCTCGTAAACTCGGTGTCCTGAATAAGGTGCGGCGTTTTTTCACGCCCGAACAACTGTGCCTGCTATACAAAACGCAGGTCCGGTCATGCGTGGAGTATTGCTCGCACCTTTGGGATGGCTCCGCTAGGTACTTACTCGATGCTTTGGATAGATTGCAGCGCCACGCAGTACGCATTATTGGCAATGGTGAAGTCACCAAGAACCTAGAAAGCCTGCAACTGCGCCGAGACGTTGCTTCGCTCAGCGTCTTCTACCGTCTCTACCATGGTGAATGCTCTGAAGAACTCTTTTCGCTTATCCCTCCATCTCCCTTCCTCCTCAGGACCACACGTGCTGGTTTGCGTTGCCACCAACTAACTGTGGCAGCGATTCCTTCGCGTACAAAGAAATTTGGCGACTCATTTCTTTGTCGTACTACCAAAAAATGGAATTGTCTCCCGGCCCATGTATTCCCTCCTTCCTATGACATGGGGTCCTTCAAGCGGGGCGTGAAGAAGCACCTTGCAGGTCGGCAAGGTGAGGTTGGCTAGTGCAGTACCTACGTACTGTTTTCACTAGCTGTCCTCACGTTTGGACTACGCCTCCGCTTACCATCAGGTGGAGCGCAGTCATAACTAAAATTTCGAGATAACATAAATGATTCATAAATACGAGGGCGGGATGATAAATAGCTAGCCTAGCATAGAAAAACTTGAATTAGTGTGTTAAAAGTATATTTATTTTTCGACATAGTCTCCTTGAAGCGCTATGCACTTCATCCATCTATGCTCTAAAGCCTTGATGCCATCCCTGAAGTGGTTTTCTTCAAGGCCTTCAAAATAACTGTCCACGGCAGACATCACCTCGCTTTTATTTTCAAATCTTTGTCCACCTAAATAATTTTTGAGCTTAGGGAAGAGATGAAAGTCAGATGGTGCCAGATCAGGAGAATAAGCTGGGTGTTACCACACCCAGCTTATTCTCCTGAGCAAATCATAATTTAATTCTTTGAATTTCGGGATCGCAGTGATGCACGTGTGAACGCGCGCATTATCCTGATGAAAGATTATTTTTTTTTAGCCAGGCCGGGTCTTTTTCACGAATACACACTTGTAATTTATCCAGTAGATCAACATAATATTCGCCATTTATGTTTTGTCCTTTTGGAAGGTAATCAATCATCAATATTCCCTTCGAATCCCAAAATACTGACTTTTTCCATCCATTGTTTAGACTGAATTTTTGATTCAGGTCTATAGTGGTGAACCCAAGTCTCGTCTGTAGTAACAAACCGTCGCATAAAATCAGTTGTATTGCTCTTAAAGCGATCCAAACATAGTTGTGGAACGCGATTTTGGTTAACTGTCAGCAATCGCGGCACCCACCTTGCGGATAATTTTTCATACATAATTCTTGAGTCAAAATGTAATGCTCCCATTCTTTAGAGATGCCTATAGTATCAGCTATCTCGGAAAGTTTCAATCTTCGGTCAGCTAAAACTGCATCATGAATTTTGATCACAATTTCTCGAGTAGTGGCACTTTTTGGACGTCTTGGACGATGTTCATCTTGGGTGCTGGTACGGCCACGTTTAAATTCAGCCACCCAATTTTTTATTATTGCATATGAAGGAGCATTTCCTCCCAAAACATCCTTCATCTCCAAAAAAATCTCTCCACCTTTTAATCCTTTTAAATGCAAAAACTTTATCACAGCTCGTAGCTCAATTTTATCCATTTTGCAGAAAAAACAAAAGAATGCTTTTTGAAATGTCAATATTTAAAAGAAAAAATTTACGATCGATTTGAAATTTGGAACACTGGCAGCTAATGAACCAATAAGTAAAATACTAAGGAGATTTTATATCGTTATTATACAAAATATGGGTTGGGCTAGCTTTTTATCATCCTGCCCTCGTAGTAATCATAACGAACTAAGGACAGAGTGTCAATATCTATTGATGGTAAAAAGGTATTTACCCTACAGAAAAAATGTATCCAAATACTTGCAAACATAGATTTCTTAACTAGCTACCAATAATTTTTCAAAAAATTCAACCTTTTAACCTATAAGCTATAAACATTTTGCTACAATGTCTAGCAGTTAAAAATTATATCAATTCATATCCTGTACAATCCCACCCATCTAGGTGAAGATGTAAATACAAGTTGGAAAAAACAGTATCAAAACTAGAAATGGTAAACACAGGACCATATTCTATGCCCATCAAAATATATAACGCTATTCCTGAGCATATAAAAGTAATAAAAAAAAAATGCTTTCAAAAGTGGTCTAAATAAATATTTATCACAAAAATGCACAAATTCGCTGCAGTTTTACAATGAAACGGGAAGTAATTCTATTCATTCATTTCCACCTTCTTAATTTAAAATATTTTTAATTACATTTAATAACATATATAACAGTGTATTTTTAATATAATTATGGATTTTAAAAGTAATGCCAATTTGAATGCATTACACTTTTCTATCAAAATATAATTTTTTGACCAATGTAATTTTATGTTATTTTTATCTAATTTGTAATTTTGTTATGATTTATTGTTATGCATGATACTTTTATATCTTATTCACTTTGATTTTATAATAATAATTATAGTATAATTAGAAAATAAGCATTTTCCATTAATAAAATTTTTCAGCATTGCATTGTAAATGCGAAATTGATAAAATATGATAATTACATTTATTTTTAGATTTTAACTTATTAGAAGAACCTAGACATTGACTTTTTAATACATCAGCCATACAGTAAAAACGTATGCTAACAAACTATTATTTCTTAAATATTGCTTAGTGTATCATATCTTTATTGTTTTTTTTTTTATATGAAATTGGCGTTTTGTCGTGGTCACTTTAACACAAATTCTCCTCTTTGGTTGGGAATTCTAAATTCAAATTTATACAGCCATTTACCATGTGTATTCGTGTTTTGTTAGGCGGCATTAATTTGCTTTTTTTCTTCTGTTTGTCCTATTTACGTCACCCAGTATAAAAAATGGAAAACTTGAAATTATCTATACGTCGGTCATTACAGTTTTCTCAAATTTGGCCAGACGATTACGGCAGACGCCTATTGTCAGCAATTGCAAACCATGCTGGAAAAACTAACTGTTAAACAACCGAGGCTGGTCAATCGCTCTACGCCACTGCTATTTCACGACATCGCTAGAACATACACTGCACAACAAACGGCTACCAAATTAGAAAAGCTTCAAAATGTCTAAGATATCCACCCTACTTCCCGGACCTTGCTCCAACAGATTACCATTTTTTTTTTCGAAATTTGGATAACTTCTTGCATGGGAAAAAATTCAACCCCGATGTGGCAGTGCCTTCAAAGATTTTATTGATTCCAGTCCGAATAGTTTTTTTAATAAGGGGATCAATGAACTACCTATGTGATGGCAAAAGAGCATAGATAACAATGGTTTATACTTTGTTTAAATAAATATAATTTATAAAAAAATATTCGACTTTTTGTTCCTGCCATACTAAACACCAATTTCATATGTTGGGACCTAATATATACATACATACGTGAAAATCTTTATACGGCCTTAAGCATTTATTGTACTGATACATAATAAAATGCAGCTGTAAGTTTTCTTTAAAATAAATAAAATAAAAATTGAATGAACGATATCGTTAATTTAACGTTAATTTTAATTATCTAAGGCAAGCGTTATGCGCAAATATTATTTTGAGTTACTATGTTTTTATTGCGTATCTTGAAAATTCAAATCACATTTCTTCCGAATACGATTACAACTTTATGTAACATAATAACATAAATTGTTAACAAAATAACTTTAACTTTGAAAGGGATTGCGATTGAATTTGAAATTAACTAATTGTCTAATTAGGCCACAAAGCATAAGGAGTCACGATGGATCCTGTCCCACTTGCCTTTTAACTTTATCATTTAAAATTTGCGATATTTTGTTAATGTCACATCTAGAAAATTTGCCTTTGTCACAATACTCGAATCTGCATCCTCTGCCATTCCGATCACGAAAAGACCGCAGACACTTTATTTACATTGTATACTCATACTTTCCTACTATAAAAAAAGCAAAACATTACTCACCACAAGACTAACATAACCATGAATATTATTATATGCCAGAACTAGCTCCCTGAAACCACCAGAACAGTACTTTTCGCATCCGTTGTACGCAGACACATTCTGATATTCGTTCCGCCAGGTTTCCAAAGCCTTCAACACTTCCCCGAAGTTAGCGCTCTGGTTATAACCTCTGTCTTTCAGCAAAGAGATCAGTTTCAATTCATCGAATTGGTCGGTGTAGTTAGTTATAGAGTTTCGAACGCCGTCGTCTAGCATTGTGTATGACGTCACCAGATCCTTTGTCCGTCACTTAGCACTGCTCATGTCCTCCGTTGGAGCATTGTTGTGTCGCTCGCTCGTACGTTCATTGTGCGTCTCTCCATATTTACCGCCTGTAACAAACGATATTATCTAACATTAATCTGAGCACGTATAATGTCATTAGAATTACCATGTAAATGGTGATGATTCAATAATTATGGCGCCAATAAATAACGGATAAAGAAAAGGCGTATGACCATGTCAAAAGTAGCTGTGGCCATTTTTCTGTAGCGGTATTTCAATCTTCGTTTGTAGAAGTTTAGAAAGTCAGACCTTCATTCTAATTGTAATGTCATATACATACGCTTGTTATTATATTACTTAAAAATACACTCGGCGACAGAAAACGTGACCCAAGTACATATCGTATAATTGTACGTCGTTGATCAGTGTAACTGAGCCATAAGGGTTACTTATTTTAAGGAAGGTTTCGCGACCTCTGTTATCTCATTTCATTGAGCAATAAAATAATAAAAGATCAATGAAAGTCACAGAGGTCGCCCGCATGAGCCAATGGTCGCTATCGCGCCTACATAGCTTATTTACGTTGATCAAAAGTTTCACATGAAGAATTCAGATAATTTCTATACTCATTTAATTTGACGATAAACCTAAGACATTTGACAGCCAATGACCGAACCATTAAAAGGGCACTAAAATCAGATGCATACGGACAATCAATCCGTATCGTCAATCGAGAGACACGTGCTGTGATCTGTTATATTCAAACATCGAAACTAAGGCGCTATCAGGTTTGACTAGTCAAACCTTAGGTCCGAGATAAAACCTTGGTCCAAATCTAATTACATAACGTCTTCTGCCTTTGACTAACGAACTTATATCTCATCTAGGACAGATAAAAGATTCGTTGGGACTTTCTAGATTTCACAAAAAATATCAACGGTTTCTGAAATGAAACTGAAATCAAAAACTGAACTTTACGATTTTACTGATAGGTTTTTCTCAAATCGAGGATAAAACAGTCATACCGATAATATACAGCATACCTTTGTCTATAACATATCGGCAAATTTAACGACTAATTTTCCCACGACCTAATCCAAACAAATTATAAAAATATAGTGAAAAATTTTGTATCGATCTAGTAATTTTGCCAAAAACTAATATTTCCTTTTATTTCTGTTTATAATTTTTTAGGAATCATAAGCTATACTGATAAATATATATAAAAATGCTTAAAATATCCACCAGCCCCAGGTTTTTAATTTTTCATTACATAAATATTTCTCTTTATCTCTTTATAATACGTATTAGTATAGATAAAACCGAACAAGTGCGAGTCGGACTCGTGCACGAAGGGCAAAAATTCATTTATTTATCTGTGAAGTGAAATATATATAACTAAATATTCTTTGTGTATCTACCTGTTGCCGTTATCAATATTGAAAACTACCAAAAAATATCACGTTTGTTGTATGTGCACCCTTTAATATTGATTTTATTCTGTTTTTCAGTATTTTTATAGCGACAACGTAAATACACCTATGAAAATTTCAAATATGTGAGTATCACAGTTCTTGAGATACAGTCTGGTGACAAAGGGACAGGAGGACAGGCGAATAAACGAAAACCTTAGAAAAAAAAGAAATCTTAGTAATAGGATACCGTTTAGGTACGGAGCCCTAAAATGAGCTTTTAAAAAGTTGATGTTGTCTAAAAACAGATTTATTGCCGTAGCACACGAACACAAAGCCGCTCACGTAATAATACATTCTAAAACAGAATATTTAAGTACTTACGTTAAATTTATAACATTTATTTACTCCTCGTACGTACACACGAGGACATAAATAGTAATCCGTATTCACATGACACGTGAATAAATATTTCATCGATATAAGCCGCTTATAACAAAGATTTAGATATTCACGATACAATAATAACTCAAAAGTTATTTTGTTAGCATGCAAGGCGAGGTAACAAAAATAAGTATATAGCGATTCATGCTACACTATGTATGTACATAATCCTTATAGGATTATACTAATCAAATTAAATTATTTATCTGCAGAATGCTCAGGTCGAATGGCAAAACGCTGTAGTTGAATATTACACATTATTATGAAATAAAGATAAGAGAAAAAAGGTTTTTTATGTCTTTTACTCATTACTTGTTTTCAATTTAAAGTAATAATTTATTTCTAAAGTAATATTAAAAACATATATTTTTATTTTCTAAGCCATTGTTAGCTGTAAGTATATAAAATCTAAGGTAATCTAATATAAGGTAAAAAAATAAACTATATATAGTCCGTCAGTCAGATAGAATAGTTTATTTAATCTTTATTGCATAGAACAGCAAACGACGAACTTAATGCCAAGGGCATTCTCTAGCAGTCTACCAGACAGAATCTAGGAAGTAAAATGTATGCTTTTAGCCTTCTGAATGTCTTCTTGCAGGTTCCAAAAGTGACTGGAAGTCAAGTATAGAAGTTTGACATAAAGCCGGTTTGATCAACAGGTGTCGGAACGCTGATGACAAGCATCTAAAAACTGGAATCTGGATTTTAGATATCTCAGAGTACGTGGATCGTATAGGATGTTGTAAATAGTGGAAACAACTCTAAGATTGCTGCGCTTACGAATAGCCAACCATTTGAATTGGTTCCTGTACTGAGAGATATGGTCGAACTTACGTAACCCAAAGATAAATCTCTTACTGTTAAGCAAACGATCCAAATTATAAAGAAGAATTTGGTTGGTGTCAGAGAACGAGAGCTTGTACAAGCGCAACGTTGGTATTGAAAGTGAGAAAAAATATTAAGTCACACTTCATTTACCTGAATCTTTAAGTATAACACTAATTTATTGTTTTTCCTGAATATATACCTACATATTGAACGAAAAATATATTTATACAAAAACTTAATGTGGGTTAATTTATGAAAACGAGTGACATACCAGTTATTATTTTTTTTTTGAAACTACATATGATAAATTTTGATTTAGTAGAAGCATTATAACTATGTATAAATTGTTTTATATTGGTATACTATGCAGAAACTGAAAGTATACATCGAATTTTTATATTCTATAATAACATTCAGAAAATATTTACATTTGTCAGTAGTTAAAAATAAGTAGGAGTTTATCCTGCTGATATTCTATTAAAACAATTATCACCTACACTTCTAGGATTTTTTATCACGGACGCCTTCGTGGGCATGGTTTGGAATTTTCGGTAGCTTTAATATTAACAAAAATATTTAATTTCGGTGGCTTTAATATTTTCAAAAATATTTAATGCAGAACCCGGCGTACTTCGTATCACCTCTCATTTTAAATCTTCCTTGGACTAGAACTAACATTTCAACACCAAAATCAGTCAAATCGGTCCAATCGCTCTCGAGTTTTAGCGAGACAAACGAACAACAATTAAAGATTGTTATATGTACTAATTCTTTTAACACATTTGTGGTTTGTTGAATTTTATAAGTAAATTTAATGCAAAAACAGCAACGTATTTATTTAGATATTACAACATTGACTATTTCTATAATAATATATAATAAAGAGGAGAGATTTGATTGTTTGTTTGTGCCCAATGATATCTGAAATTATTGTACCGATGATAAAAAAAAAAATCACCCATGGGATGCTACGTGATACGCAGATAACATAGGCTATAATATACACGGGCAAAGTTGCGACACAGCTAGTTCATTAACATTGCGGTTACCAATAACATAATTAACAACAGGGATTAATTAATTATTTTCATTGTTTCTCTTTCTAAAATATAAAATTATTGTTTTTACTGAAGTTTTATTATTAGTTATAGATAGGGTATATGATATCGGAACATTTTTAATTATATAGGTACTGGTTTTTGTTATAGGGTATCATTATAGAAATTCCGATATTAATCATAACCAAATAGGCAAGCTTTATTTATCTGTAAGTTTTAAACATGATACCACAAAAATTAACAATTATATCTATTTTTTAATAAAAATTTATCAAAATATTATTAGTTTTACATGTAGAAGTTTTTGTTTTAACCAGGCATAAACCCTATCATTAAATTTTTCTTTTTAAAACATTACGTAAAAATTACTGGTCAAGTTAGTTTTCGATTTATGTGTACAAAAAGTTACTCAATCTGAATTTCTACTTGATTCAAGATTTGTGAGTCATTTGCACCACAATATACTTTGCTCTTTGTGTAAATATCCACTGAGCTTCTTCTTCTTCTTTTCCTCTTTATTTTTAATGTATTTTATTTTATAACTAGCTGTTTGCCCGCTTCTTGACCTGGTTAAGGTAGAGCCTATATCACCTCACATTATGTTGCTTCCCGAAGGTGAAAGAATTTTTAAAATTAGTTCAGTAGTTTCGGAGCATATTCAGAATATGTGTGCAGCTAAAGAATGCTATACACAACTAATTCAAAAAAAGAATTAATTTATCTATCTATCTATAAATTTATCGATATCGATAAGTGCCTCACACTGTTCATTTCTCGCCGTTTTTATAGTGTAGCGACGTGAAGCGTCTAGAAGTTCCATTGTGTGAATATCATTGTGTGCGTGTAGTTTATGAAAGTGTGTTACAATTTTGGCGTGTGCATTGATAGCGAGATGCTGCGAAAATGCATTAATGTTAAAATTTTAGTGTGCATTACCTCGCCCCTTAGATAGCAGACTTTTTTTTATAAAAATTGCTGATTGCTACTCTTGTTGGTTTAATACACTAAGCTAATATTTTAACACGCTCACAATCGATGGTAAACGTGAACGTCAAAAAACATACACAACGCGCTCAGAGTGTTAAGTGTAAAATTTTGTATGGAGATTTATAGTTCTTGATAGTTACCGCTAGAGGCGCTGTACCGGATTCAATACTAAAATCATAACGCGCTTATGATCGAAGGTGAACGTAAACGTCGAATAAACTTATACTAAGCCCTCAGACGGCAGAATGAAGAGTTCGATTGCGAAAAGGTATGCGCGTTTTATTTATGAAATATATAAAGAAGACATTACAAAATCGTATTTTTTAGAAGATTTATAATAAAAAAATACTTTAGCTCCCATAACACTTAACCTAC